TCTCTCTCTCTCTCTCTCTCTCTCTCTCTCTCTCTCTCTCTCTCTCTCCTCGCACTCCCAGGGGATGTCCGATAACCTGCCTTGCCCCCCACGCTCTCTCCCCGCAGGCCCACCCGACGCGCACCCCGATCCGTCCCCGCCGTCGATGCAAACGCACCGACGCTCCGATAAGCTCCCCTTGCCCCACGCCGCGTCCCGCTGCCCGGTTCCCACCCCTTCGCGCAGGCCCTTCCTTGCGTCCCCCTTCACGCCAGCCGCGGCCGATTTCGTCGCGTCGGCAAGGGAAAATCCCTTTGCTCCTGAACAAGCTCTTTCAACTACCTACACGAAACCACCACTATGTCTCTCCTTCACGTGTCACCAACCCTCTCCCCCGGGAAAAGCACCCTGGTCGTTCTGGCTACACCCAGTGTACAACTCACAATAGAAAACTGGTATTTATTGGCATATCGAAATTTGACAACACATCAAAATACAATGATAAATTAAAAAAAAAAATTGAAATTCAATGATTGAAATTCCAATCAGATGGTCATTTCCTCTCCATCAATTGGTGCCAAAATGCCTATTTATTCAGTTTGCCGGAAATAGCAGCAACTCAATACCCCTCCACTGGCAGGGCGAATTTCCCCCTTACCTTCGACTGCTAGTTTCATCCTCTCTCTCTCTCTCTCTCTCTCTCTCTCTCTCTCTCTCTCTCTCTCTCTGTCTCCCCCCCCCTCTTCCTCCCTCCTATTCTACCCTCTCTCTCTCTCTCTCTCTCTCTCTCTCTCTCTCTCTCTCTCTCTCTCTCTCTCTCTCTCTCTCTCTCGCCTTGCTCCCTCCTTTTCTACCCTCTGCCCACTCCTAGATACCGCCAAGGGATCGAACGTGCCCGTCATGAACTGGGACGATGATATCTGAAGTTTTGTCTTTCCAGCCCTATGCCCAAACCAGTACCCAAACCACCCTTGGGCCTGGAACTAGTCCAAGCGCAGGACCACGTTCTCTCTCAGCTGAAAAGACCATATTCGATGAATTTGCTCTGCCTCAGACAAATAACAACACCAAGAAATACCCTACCCATGAACCCACCACAAGTGTGTACTGGCTTCAAGAGAAACAAGAGCACGATTAAACAATGGCCAACCCTCTCTCATTAAACCCCACGAGTACACGGCCGCAGCCTTGCAGAAAAACTGAAGTGGTCCCCACCACCGCAACTTTCGGGGCCACGCCGCCATTGATAAATTTCATCAACGGCCAACGGCCTTTGTCGCGTTTCCCGCCTCCCCAAAAAATTCCCGCCTTCCCAAAACGTCGCGGTGAGGGGCCCTAGGCCGATGTTTGGACGTGTACTGGTCCTTTGACCCTCTCTACAATCTCCATTATCCCTCCCTCCCCTACACATGCCATCAAGAACGTCGGCCACCTCCTACCCAACCCAGATCAAAACCGCCCTGAGAAATCCCGCTAGGAAGAAATGACCCCCACCTCACATGGAAGACAAAAAAAAAAAAAAAAAAAAAAAAAAAAGACAATACAATACCCCTGTTGGAGCAGAACTTCAAAATCTAACTATCCTCCTCCTCCTCCTACCTGCTAGCATCAGTACGCCACCCAACCCTTTCCTTATTTCCGTCATCGTCATTACATAACCATCATCGTCGTCATTCTCATCATTATCCTCTCATCATCACTATCCTCCTCCTCCTCCTCATCATCATCATCATCACCATCATCATTAGCATAAATCACCATCATCATCATCATCCTCATCCTCATCATCATCATCATCATCATCATGACTTCACCATCATCGTCATCATCATCGTCATCATCATCAGCATGGCCATCATCCATGGTCGCAAACCGGTCGTGGTGCCATACCCGCCGGCGTGTGCAATCATGTGCCATTGTGTACTCGTGTGTGTATACACTCTTCTTGCAAACGTGTGATTGATTCATAATTGCCCATGTGTTTTGCTTGACGTTGACGTATATCACACCAATCACAGCAGCTGAAACTACCGAAAAAACGTTTTCTTTCGTTTTGTTTTTTGGCACTCCCCGTGGGACTACTGAAAAAAAAACACTTTTGACCATCAGCGTCATCACGGCCTTGCATCTGTTTACATCTTTTCTTTTATTCGTAAAAAAAAATCATGAAGTTCTATCTACGAGTTGGATTGGCGCTAGTACATTGCTCTTGTTGGTCTCCACAATGCATCCATTCATGACCATCTCGTCCAGCATAAAGTGTGCCTTTTCAAGATGAAGCATGATGTCCAGCTCACATACGTTCCCAAAATATCGGTCCATGGTTTCCACGATACAGTGGATGAGTTCGAGGATCGCCAGCTCGTTCTCATGTCCATCAACGCCGACTAGGAAGAACAAGGATGCATAGCGCCGATAAATGATCTTGTAATTACGGTGCTCCACAAACGAGCACTGCTGTTCTGATCGAGCAAGGCACTTCCGCACAATCTCTCCCTCCAAAGCGCGCCGCTCCTCGATGGACATGTACTCGTAATACTGAGCAAGCCGCGTCTGTCCCTGCTTGTTAACCATCAAGATGAAGCGAATCGTCATTGCGCTCTGACAACAACAACAAGAACGGCGATGGTGATGGACGGCGATGGTGATGGACGGAGGAAGGATAGAGTCGCTTCAACGTTCAACGGCGATGGTGATGGACGGAGGAAGGATAGAGTCGCTTCAACGTTCAACGGCGATGGCGATGGGCGGCGATGGTGATGGACGCGGCGATGGTGATGGACGGCGATGGTGGACGGCGATGGTGATGGACGGCGATGGTGATGGACGCGGCGATGGTGAACGACGAAGGATAGACGAAGGAAGGATAGAGTGTCTGCCTGCGACTGTGTCTGTCTGTCTGTAGGGCGGTCTGTAGGGCGGTCGGTCTGTCTGTCTGGGGGAGCCGCTCTTTTGGAAATTTGTTTTTCAATTCTAATCTTACGCAGGGGCCATGCTAATCTTCTCTGTATCGTTCCAATTTTAACGGATGTCCCGAAGGACTCAATTCTAATCTTAAACAATTTGTTCTTCACAAGAAAAAGTGGATCCAAAAATATATATATATATATATATATATATATATATAAAAGTGGATCCCGACCGATTTGTTCAAGCCCCACCTCAGGTTCAGGGTCAGGCACAGCACTGTCAACCCGGATCCCGACCGATTTGTCCACAGCCCCTGTACCCCAGTCTGTACCATCCCCTATTCCTGATGCCACCGTGGTCCCACCCCTCTCATTGGCCAGAGCCTGGGCTCGATCCCTCTCCCTCGATCCCTCCCCGTATCACGGGCGACCGAGCGCCCTATACTTACCTCCCCAGTACGCACCCCACTCACCCTCGCAAACACACCCTCCAGGAGTGCCGGACCCCAGTGAGAGAGCGCAGTTTGAAAGCAGTAGAGGTGGCCATGTAGTCCACCCAGAGTGGCACAGGCAACCGGAGGGTGCAGATTCATACTGCCAAGAGGACGGGGGAAGAGGTGCGTATAGTCGGAGAGGGAATGCATTAGAGCAGCGGAGGGAAGATCTCATATATCAAGGCGCTAGGGGGGATTCACAAGGAGACACGTACAGGGGAAGCAGGAGGGAGGAGACCGGGGGAGGAAGGGAGATGAAGAGTTACCCCTCAAGGGAGCAGGGGGGAAGGGGTGTGGCACTCTTGCTCTCGGCGAACTCGAGGGTAGTCCTGGGTAGCAACCTAGTGGGAGATGAGTATTCAGGGGCAAGGAGGGGGGAGCTGGGCCCGGATAGGTCGCAATCCTCCACAGGGAGTTCAGGGCCGGCTCAGAGGAGGCAAGCACCACCTTCGGACACTCGAAGTAAATGGGAATACCGAGGGAATGAATTGGGCGGAGCATCAGCAATTAGGCTCCAGGACAGAGAGAGAGTGGAGAGACGAATGGTTCCATTAGTATGCTCTGTCACGAACCTAGGTGTCCGCTTCCTGGGTAAGGAAAATGCAGAAGGTAATCTGTATCTGCCGTCGGAGGAAACAGGAAGAACCCCCACTCCAACAGAGATCATTGCAAGAACAAAAAGTTTGTATGGGGAGGCCTTCCCTATTAGGCTAATTCCGAGGTCGACTATGACGAGTGTAGTAGTCCCTCTGCAAAGGATGATCTATAAGTTTTATTTCTCTCTCTCTCTCTCTCTCTCTCTCTCTCTCTCTCTCTCTCTCTCTCTCTCTCTCTCTCTCTCTCTCTCTCTCTCTCTC